AATAATAATAATACTTTGACTGGTAGTGTGTATAATATATACTATTTCAGGTGTAACATTCCTTTTTAGTGCTCTTGATTGATAATTCTTTTGATAATCTTGATTGATAATCTTTTGCAGTATACAATAGTTGTAATTCTGCTGTAGAAGTGCACACTCATGCATACATATAGCCTCAACATCGGAAAACAAAGAGTAACTTGTTCTTGCCTCTTGTTTAACCAGGCAGGGAAAATGCATGTGAAAAAACCTCCTACATGTTTCTGAGGAAAGAACTGGCAGTGAGGTTGGCCAATACGATGAGGGAAGTCACCTTGTTACCCACCAATCTTCAGAGCCAGCCATCCGTCAAACTGGTCGAGTCCTGGTGAGGAAGTCAGGTGTGATGATGAGTGTGAGCTGTGAGTAAACTGTGACTGGGTTTGGTGTAAAGGGCTCAGAGTGATTGCTTTGAAGAAATGTGTGCATACAAAGAACATGTAGCAGAATGTAAATGTAATGAAGCATAAGTCCTACAATCTCTCATGTTTTTTCCCCCCCATTTGTATCACCTGATGGAGTTTAGGCACCTTGCCACTGTCACCTTTGTTCTGCTTAGTTGAGGTTCAAAAGACACTTAATATCAGTGTTGGGCAAGTTACTTCCAAAATGTAATACATTATATATTACTAGTTACTGTCTTTTGAAAGTAATTAGTTACATTACAATATTACTGTCTCTGAATTGTAATGCATTACACTACTTTTGAGTTACTTTTGAGTTACTTTCATCCAAAATATCCACATAAGTATTGTAAAATGCCAAAATGTAGTTTATTGCTGTTCATACTACATTCAGTGGAGTGTAATGTGGTAGGTCTATATAGCATAAAATATGAAATCATATTTAGATACCGGTATGTAGGTCTACATTAATGTTACGTTGTAGTTTAGTTAAAAAAAATATAGTAAGCACAAATCGCATTATTACATTCATAAATAACACTGGTAAATAAAGCGAAATATTATCATGTACAAACAATAAACACAATACCTAGCCTATAGGCTATTTTGAACGGTTTCAGAAGAAAACAAGAATGAAAAATATAAGTTGCTAAACAAGCCAAAATGAATTAGGCTAATTCAATGCGAAACTGAAAGCAAACGGCGTTCTCGCGCAGCCTACCTCTCTCATTCGGCATTAATCCAATTAAATGTGTCCATATTTGCGATGTATTTGAATGCTTTATGTAATCCAAGCTTACTTAACGCACTTAAAAAACATCCTCGTCACATGAGCAAATGTGTGTTTGGCCCGAGCTCAGGCTGATCGACATGGATTGTACTACGCAGTAGGCTACGCACTATTTAAATTAACCAGTGTATCTATATGTTTGGTTGACTGTATTTTATTCTGATAATGAACAGGCTGCAACGTTTGCAATGCTGTATGTGTGTGCGTGAGGCGCCGGCGCGATCGAACAGCGGAAACAAACAACAAAAAAATACTCTGTTATTTTTGGTCATACAGATCATTTGAAACTGCAGTGTGTTTACTTTATTTCTGTCATCTCGGTTTCCTTTCCCTGGACTTTCGTAGAGCGCCGCGCCACACAAATAGCATATGAACCAAACTCAGCAACATAGCCTATCTCTCAGTCTTTTCCTTTCGTTTTGTTAATCTGTTAATTAGGCTATTTAAGTCAAATATTTCGCATATTCATTCATTTTATATATACACTATGATTTAATAAAAACAGATTTTATTTTTAGTTAAACTTAATTTTTGTTTCTCGTCCGCCGTCTTTTTCTCTTCTCCGACCCCGCAGCTCTCTCCGGTAGCTTAGTGTTAGTGGCACCAGTCTAGGTGTTTCCAGGTTTTACTCGTGCTATTTCTCCATGTTGAGAGTTTGGTGTTGCACATATTGCACCTGACTATGCATTCTTATCCTTTTCTCCGATGAACTGAAAATAACAGGAGTGTGTCCATCTCACAAATGTAGAATCCGTCTCTGCATTCATCTCAACCATCTAAATCCAGCAACAGGAAACAGACAAGCTATTTTACCCGCGGAATTTTTTCTCCTATGCTGTTGCGGTGTTGGTAAATTCACCACTTAATTTTGAGTTAAAATATGTTGTTGTAACTTGCGTTACTGGGATTGTAACGAGTAATAATATTACCCAAATTTTATTAGTAATGCGTTATATTACTGCGTTACAGCAAAAAGTAATATACTACTGTAATATTATTACTTTTGTAATGCGTTACTCCCAACACTGCTCATCATTAGAACACATTGACACATGGCTCTCGATTCTGACTTGTGCTTGCTCTTATGAAAATGTATAGTTCTTAACAGCATTTGTTATAATAAGGCTAGCCTTTTATTCAGTACCAGGCCAACAATTTTTTTATTTTTTATTAATCTATATAGCATTTGTTATGAAAAACAACAGCCTGCACATTTAAAAACAACATGCCACAGTTGTATTATAAATCTATAGGGAAACATCTACCCACTTAACAGATTATCTATTATAAATTCTACATCAAGTTCAACAAAATCTACCAAAATAAATAAGTCTACAATAAAACGTGATAAATTCTTCTGGTAAAAGTGGTCATGAGTAGATTATCTATTATAAATTCTACATCAAGTTCAACAAAATGTACCACAATAAAAATAGGTCTACAATAAAACGTGATAAATTCTTCTGGTAAAAGTGGTCATGAGTAGTTTAAAAAGATTTTAATATACGTTAGTGGTGGTGCAAGATTATGTTTTCTCCTCTTTTCATCAGTATTTTTAGTTTATGTGCCTTTGTTTAGATAATGTTTGACTGTATCCATAGCATTTTAAAGTGCCAATTTATCAATAGAATTCAAATAGATCACATATTTCACCATCAGCGTCGTGATAGGAATGGCTCGCGTAAATCTGATCACACTTTTCAAGCGTGCTGGTGAATGCGTGCAGAGTATACGGTGATTCACACGCCGCTCGTGCACAATTAACAGAACTGTGTTCAGTCATATTGTGCTGATAACTGCTCCGTTTGGTCCGCACGTGAAGTTAGCACTTATAAAAGCACCGAAGTCGCAATTTAAATAATTAAGTAATTGCAAGTGACATTGCAATTTTGTGTGGCTACTGTTTGTTTGTCTGGTTACTGTTTTAAAATTATGAGAGATTCATTAATTACATAAATTTAATAAATAAATAAAAAAATGCACGTGACATCACTTGCAGAAGCGCAGGTGTCTGAGAGTGCAAGTGCATGGCTGCGTTCCAGTTCACTTTTTTATGCCCTTCACTCGCTAACTTCCCTCCGTCTCGTTTACTCGCATGTACGTCATTGATTACGTTGCATGAGTGCCCACTACTGGCAGAACCCTTGGAATGGGCTGAATTGGAACGTCCTAAGCCCTTGATCACTTATGGCGCTTTTCCACTGCGTAGTACGACTCTGCTCGGCTCGGTTTGCGTTTCCACTGCAGTTCAGTACCGCTTTAGAGTGGGCGGGATTATTCACATGTCGTTATAGTTGTGCCGCCTCTACTACCACGACTCCTGAAAAACTTTTTCATTCTGTGTCGCCCCATAAAGATCTCACTGGATCTGCTCCTCGGCTATCAACGAGAGGAACGTTTGTACTTTCTCAACAGACAACGAAACAGCCA